GGCAGGCTGTCCGTGGCACCCGGGAAGTGTGTGCAAAGCAGATCCAGTGATTCCTCCTCGGTCTCAGTCCAGGAGCCGTCAGGTCAGAAGTCTTTCCATGAGGTTANGAAGTCTCCAGTGACCGAAAGATCTCCAGTTAGATGTGGCTGCACCGGCAGGCTGTCCGTGGCACCCGGGAAGTGTGTGCAAAGCAGATCCAGTGATTCCTCCTCGGTCTCAGTCCAGGAGCCGTCAGGTCAGAAGTCTTTCCATGAGGTTATTTTCGACTTTCTTAGGAGCTTCTTGTACTCCCGTAACGTTGTCTTGTAGGTCTCCCAATGTCCCTCACTACCCGACGCAGTGGCCTGGTTGAAGGTTTTCCTGCAGTTCTTGCGTGAAATCCTGATTTCTTCATTCCACCAGGGTGGCTTTTTCCTTCCCCGGTGCTGCTTTTTGGGGCATGCAATGTCAATTGCCTTACTGCAGGGCCCCGTAAAATGGTCGACAAGATATTCCAGCTCCTCTAGGTTTGCTGGAGTAGTCGGCTCTCTATCTTCTGGCAAAAGCCTATCCAGCTCTTCCCGATACCCATGCCAGTTGGTATTACGCAAGTTTCTAGTTAGAGGAGCCTCGGGCATTCCGCCTACTACCTCTCGAATTGGATATTTTGGTGGTCGGAAAAGGAGTGCTCCTCGAGCACCTTCCACTTCCCGACCAGACATTCCGCATTCTCAGAGATAAGGGTAACGTTCAGCACTTCCCTTCGGGACTTTGTAATAAAAGGGGGTTCGTTCCCCCTATTTGCAATAACAAGCCTAGAGCTAAGTATGAAATTAAAAAGTGACTCACCCCGTTCGTTATCGTCGGAGCTGCCCCAGGTATGATGGTGAGCATTTGCATCACCTCCCAAAATTAGCACCTCCCTCGTGCTGGCCACTAGGTCCTTTATGCAGGTAGTTGGCACCTCCTTGTCGTACGCTAGGTACATGGATGCCATCTTAATTGGTCGTCCGTTTACACTTAGACTGACCGCTGTTGTGTCCTCGTCGCTAAATTGTGGAAGAAAGAGACACTTTCCGGCTTGCGGTAATCGGGTAGGACTGCCTTTGCCCAGTCGATTTCTGTGAGGATCTCCTTCACATGCTCTGCGTTCGCCTTGCTACACAGGTCAGGCGTAGTGGTGAACCTTTGCAGGATTCGTGCAGCCATCTTCTTCTGTCGATAGCCCGCTATAGCTGGTTCTGGCCTCGTGAAGGCCGTGGGTGTCGCGGGAGGATCGCCCGGGGCCTGCGCCCCACATTCCGCCTTATTTCCGGCTGCAATCTGCATGCCAGGTTGGCATCCACTGGTGCCAGGAATTTCCCGGGGTGGTCTCCTTTGAGCATCCCCACCGCCGCACAGTGGTTCGGATCGCAAATCTAGCTGGACGAAACTATTTAAACAAATACTCGTTGATGGATCTTTACACCACTTCTTACCTAGGGGACTTTTGGGTCGCTGATTACGAATCTGAAGTCACTTATCAAAAATTCAAAATGGCAGATCCAATATGGCGGACGAAAATTTAAAAAAATCGGTAGATTTCTATGAAACTGGGTATCTGGGGGTTTTGTGGGTCGCTGATTACATATCTAAAGTCATTTACCAAAAATTCAAAATGGCGGATCCAATATGGCGGACGAAAATTAAAAAAAAATCGGTAGATTTCTATGTAACTGGGTATCTGGGGGTTTTCTGGGTTGCTGGTTACGAATCTATAGTCATTTACTTAATTTACTTTATTTACTTCGGAACGAGCATTTTCATCAGATATTTCTTTCAATTTACTAATCACATAATCACGGACACCTTGTTGTCTTTTAGAAGTTTCAGCAACACTTCTCCAAAAGTCAAACAACTCACTTCTTAAGATTTTCTTTACAATGACTAAAATTTAAGATCACGGCAAGAAACACAAATAAATTTCAGAAAAAAATTTATAACAGCGCTTAAAGATTTGCATGCCTGTTGTATAATTTTTTAATTTCAGAAAGCAGAAAATTCGCGAGTTACTATTTTTTTAACTCTTACATAACCAGTTTTTATAACTCCAAGTATTTTTCTGTTTTAACACACAACCCCCCAACCAATGTAAATATCTAAGCCAATTGGTTAGACTTGGTTATCGAACTTACCCTCTGCATTTGCGAAGGTGTAAAGAATAATATGCAAGTGGTTTTATAACGGCCTTCGGCGGCCTTTACTTTTCCTACTCTTTAATTTACTTTTTTAATTAATCAAAACGATTATTTTTCAGAATAAATTTGCTTATACCAATGGTGACATAAATTGCGTTATGACCTCTGAANGTCACTAAAATGTAAATATCTAAGCCAATTGGTTAGACTTGGTTATCGAACTTACCCTCTGCATTTGCGAAGGTGTAAAGAATAATATGCAAGTGGTTTTATAACGGCCTTCGGCGGCCTTTACTTTTCCTACTCTTTAATTTACTTTTTTAATTAATCAAAACGATTATTTTTCAGAATAAATTTGCTTATACCAATGGTGACATAAATTGCGTTATGACCTCTGAATCTATAGCGGAATAAGTGTAATTTTTTGTTTATAAAGTCAATTTGCAATTATGCAAATATCTGTGAGTGCAATTAGCAATCTTTTAAGTTAAATTTCAGCTTTTAAAATAGAGTTCTCAAATAGGCGGCGTTGACTTACCTTTTTTTTTTGTTTTCATATGATAATGCTTTAATAAATGCAATTTCTATTTGAATGTATTGTCAGGAATGTATTCCAAGTATCATTAAATATTTTAAATACAAAAAAATTTTGACTTTCGTCCAGCTAGATTTGCTATTCGAACCACTGTGCGCCGCTTTCCTTCTTTTTTGCAGGAGCTTGGCCCGGTTTCACCATTGGGCTTGGTTTCCTGCTGTTTGTCACCGCACTACGGCTGGTGGAGGTACTCTGCATCGCTTGAGCCCCTTCTTTAGTGGGCCGAGACCCTTCCGACGCCTTAAGGGGGCCGGTCCCTCTATAGTTTGTTTTTGTTTTTGTTGTTGTTGTTTCTGTTTTTGTTGTTGTTGTTTTTTGCTTTTTTTGTATATTTGTTCCCACGGGCTGCGGAGAAAGAGGGTCGTCCACCCGGGCAGAGATCCGCGATGCCCTGGTAAGGCCTACTTACATCCTGGGTGTGGCCGCCTCCCAGATGGCTCCGTTCGCGACTGGGCTATTTAGGGGCCCCCAGCCTGGCTGATCCTCGGTACGGTGCGCGTGACGCCTTGATCCAGCCCCTTCAGACCTCCAAACCACGATCGAAAACCATTTCCATATGACTAAGCTATTAAGGAGTTTAGCACATAGCACTGATTCCTGATCTTAGCTGAGCACCATTCTGATATCGCACAGAATCCTCTGTAGTGCCCATTTCCAGTCGGCACCCTCATGGAGGGTTCAGCCGGAGGATTTCTGCCGACCAATGTTATCTACTAGTAAAGTGCAAAACACCTCCCACGACACATTACGTTGTCAGTTGCAAAATAACGTGCAGCCGAAGTTATTCCCAAGCGCCGAACTACTCCGAGCGACTTTTCTGCATTATGCGTAACTTACTTTGTAAAGCGGCTCAGAGGTATGTCTGATACCAAATGTCTTTGTTAAAGTAAGGGAGATTCGTCAGTGACGTGGTTGTTGTTGTTGTTGTTGTTGTAGCGGCTACTAAGCCTCGTTCGGGGCGGTTCATCCATCAACGTTGTCGTCAATTTCAGCTAGGGGGAGGCCCAGGAAGTGTGCTACTTCCACAGGGGCTGTCCATAGGGACAGGGGCGTTAGCTGAGTGGGGTTCTCAGGGCATGTGAAGAGGTGCCGGGAGTCATGTGGCGACTCTTCACATGCCGGGCATTGGTTGGGCACATCCTCGTTAACTCTGCTCAAGTAGGAGTTGAGCCTGCTGCAATAGCCAGAGCGAAGTTGGGCTATTGTAGTGCGGGTCTCCCGAGGCAGACAAAGTTCTGTCCCGTCCACGTCCGGTGGTTGTGTGCCTAGAACGGCAATCACAGGGCGGGAGTCTACATAACTTGATACTGATTCCCTGTCAATGCCGTTCAGGTGAAGGGCAATACCTTACCAGCAACTTACCAGCATGAGCCGCTTTACAAAGTAAGTTACGTGTAATGCAGAGCAGTCGCTCGGAGTAGTTCGGTGCTTGGAAATAACTTCGGCTGCACGTTATTTTGCAACTGATGACGTAATGTGTCGTCGGAGGTGTTCATTTTGCGCTTTACTAGTAGATGACATTGGCAATGATGACAATTTTGGTACTAAAAACTGAAAGAAAACATGGCTTACCTCGTAAGGTGCTTACCTATTTTCCCAGTGGGCATGTAAACGCCGGATAAGGTAGATATACACATGATACAAAAGAGGTAGTTTCATTACTACTATTTTTTGATTATAAAGCACATTTTTGACATTTCTACAAATGTTAACATTAAGCATAGCTTTGCCACATTGGAATTTTTTGAGAAGGGAGATTTTTTTTTAATATATGGAATTCAATACAAGAGTAAAAAAGGCAAGTTGATGTGATCGATAATCAAATTTCAACGTTTTTCTCAAGCGTAATTTTATTACTTTTGAAGGATATCGATGTGCAGAGGTGGGGAAATAAAATAAAATTGAGTTTTTATACAATTATTTTTTTAAACCGAATAAACAAATTTACATACATATGTAACATGTAGCAAAACATTAATCTGTGTTGCAATTTTCTTAATTTCTTTGCTGAAGTTTTGCATTAGTCCCCTTGCAGATATATGTATTTCGTGCTTTTCCACTCAGGAAATAAGCAGCTCAATTTTTAGTTTCTTGATTAAAAATTTTAAAAAATATGTGTATATTTTTTCGCTATAGAACAATTCTAGGAGGTGAGTATTAAAATTCCGACTTTATTTTTTTTTTGACCACCCTAATGAAATCAAATGGTGACTACAGACCTATTGCGATTCTCCCATATCTAACTAAAGTCTTAGAACGCATAATGCATCAGCAGATTGACTCGTTTATATCTAAAAATTCCCTGGTCAGCGCTTACCAATCCGGCTTCAGGCATAAGAAAAGCTGTAACCTTTCGCTTCTTACCGTTTCAGATGACTTTAGAATAAATATGGACAATAATCGCGTAACCTTGCTTACTCTTCTTGACCACTCCAAAGCTTTTGATACAGTAAATCACAAACTACTGTGTCTCAAATTAAAGAATTTATTTCAGTTCTCATCTTCGGCTGTAAACCTAATTAGCTCATATCTTTTCGGCCGATCGCAAGCAGTCAACATAGGCAATGCAATGTCAAGTTCTCTTTCCATATCTAAAGGAGTTCCTCAAGGGTCGATTCTCGGCCCCTTACTGTTTGTTTTGTACATCAACGATCTGCCGAAGGTATTAAAGCACAATAAAATTCAAATGTACGCTGATGATGTGCAATTGTATTTGAGCTGCCCACTTCACTCATTGAACCTATGCATACAGAACCACAATAGTNAGGTATTAAAGCACAATAAAATTCAAATGTACGCTGATGATGTGCAATTGTATTTGAGCTGCCCACTTCACTCATTGAACCTATGCATACAGAACCTCAATAGTGATTTAGACCTCGTTCACGAGTGGGCAAGTAACAATGGTTTGGTCTTAAATCCAAACAAATCCCAATGTATTGCTATTTTTAAAAAACATTTTGACCTCAACGTTTATGATACAGTTTCATTGAACAGAACTGTGATACCATATGTTGATGTAGCTAAGAACCTGGGCGTACTATTTAACAGAAAACTAACGTGGGATAATCATGTCTATATNAACCTGGGCGTACTATTTAACAGAACACTAACGTGGGATAATCATGTCTATAGCACAATTGGTAGAGTATATGCTATGCTAAGGTATTTATGGTCAACACAACACCTAACGCCGATGCCCACTAGAATGTTAATCGCGAAATCTTACTTGCTACCAACGCTGTTGTACGGTTGCGAACTCTATGCTAACAGCGATAGTCAATGCAATAAAAAACTCAACGTGCTTTACAATAACATCGCCAGGTATATATATAGCAAAAAACGGTATGACCACATTTCTCAATGGGCTCGTAAGATAACTTCAATATCACTCGACGATATGCTGATGCTCAAGTACCTTACAATACTTCAGAAAATCTTATTCTCAGAGGAGCATCCGCATCTCAAAAATCGTCTTCAAATTACTCAATCGTCACGATTACAACAGCTTTTGCACCTGAAATTCAATTCTGTCATATCTGAGCGTCAGTTTTTCGTCTATACTATTCGCCTATGGAACAAATTACCCCTTAAACTCAGGGCTATTAAGGACACATTGCACTTTAAAATAGCATTACTTAGACACTATGCTGACTAAATGAAAATTTGTAACTATTTAACTCGCGTCAGTCACCTCAACTCTAACCGCTAAATTACTGTATTTTTCTTTATTCTCTTCAATCTTACACTTTATGAATAATTTTATAAGTTTTAGAAGTTCAAATTTTATACATTTTAATATCGTATTATATTGTAATATTCTCAGTATCTAACACTGAAATATAACCTGTGGTTGTTGTGTTAGACTACTTTAATAAATTAATAATAAATAATGTACATGTCTATAATATTTTTAAATATTTTTTCGTCATATTTTGCAGTAAGTTTTATATACAAAATAAGTTGGTTCGCGAAACTCTTAGCAACAATTTTCGGATCGTGTGTTATGAATGTCGACACGTTGCGATGATAAAAATTGTTGCTAATGGGTCACAGAATGTTATGCATAAACGATTTGCCAAATTGTTTTAAATACGGTAACTCTTTGATGTTCGCATATGACGTTTAACTCTTATCTGTTGTACGTAGTCTTTCATTTTGTCATAATCATCAGCTGGATCGGAATGCATTTGCGTATATCTTAATAAAAATTATTGCGAGAAAGTCTAGTAATATCATCGTCCTTAACTATAATAGAGACAATTCTATATCACGAGGCTCCGAAAATAAAGATTTACTTGGGCTTCCGTTTGCAAAGCACATAAAAATTATTTTGGATGATGGCTGTGTAATAAACAAATTTAATAATAAATAATTTTTTGGGTGGGCAACATATTTACTGGTCTTTAGTTTCACAGAAGGCATTGGTCCCTTGTTTTACAAATATTAAGATGTATGAAATTCAATTTTCTTTGTTGCTCCAATCGAAGAAAACTTTTCTTTCAATTTTGTTATTTATTTTTTTTTACAAACAAATTATTTTTGAGGATTAGGTATGGTAGCATGAAATGTCACAATCTGCTTAATTGTGATGTAGTTAATATGGCGCCCGAAATGTGACAATGAAACTACCTTCTTTTTTGTATCATGGATATCGATTACTGGAGCCCTCAGCGTTGCTTACTACAATGTTGCCACTCATCAATGTCTTTTCATAAACTTACCTTTTCAACTAAAATTTTTCGTATTATAATAGATCGTAGCTAAATATAAACTACTTAATTTTCATTAAAAACCTTATTCAATAGTAAATTTCAAATATTTTAAATGTATTTTGAATAGGAACTTATAACTTTTTTACCATCTGCAAAACTGACGAAGTGGCAACCATCTATAGAAGGAAGAAATCAGCTGACACGGAAAAATAGTTCTTTCTTTAACAGAATCCGTGTAATTCCAAGTTTCAAACTTTGTTCAATATTTAAAAAAATCCAAGTTTCGTAAAAATTTCGAGCTTTAAATTAATTTCCTAGAGAAATTCTTAGTATGCAATTTAGTAGCCCATTGAATTCTAGTAGAATGAAGTAAAAGTTTTAAATCACTGAAAATTACCGTTGATTTTTTAGTATAACCTCATAAAAAAAAAGTCTAACGGTGCCAAGTCGGATGATCTTAGTGGTCAAATGACATCCCCTCTACGGGAAATTATGTGCCTGATAATCCTATGTTGCAATGAACCTTATCCATGACACTGAATGATCAGACGCCGTCAGTTGTTTTGTGGCCTGAGCTTTGTTTGGATGGAGACATGAGAGTAACATGTTCTTAAAACGACGCGCAATCAACAATTGCTCTCTTAGAGCCGGTTACCGCAGAACTCCACAGGCAAACATCGATGGCCTACCAACTGTCATTTTGACGAGCAATGTGATTGCAAGTTTTTGTGTGTGGGCACTTTGATGTCTTGAAATAAGCATTTGCCGCATGACGCCACCAGACAACATTCTCTCAATTTCGGTGTTTAAAAACATTTAAATCTTTAAAAAACTTGCTGAATAATTTCCTAAAACGTAATCATAAATAATCCAATAAGGAACAGACTTTTATTTTAATTTAATATAAAAATTTCATCGATGTTACCACCAGCACGCTTTCTTTCAAATGAAAATATGGCTGTCAAACTATCGAATTGCCTGCAATAGATGTCAAGCAATAAGCGCTGACATATATTGCAGCACATGAGAAATAGGCGGTCTCCATTGGAAATATATTTTGTGACATAGTTTTCACGACATCAGTGTTTTCCTGTGGAGACAGGGCCTTACTCAATGTCTGGTTAACACTGATCTGCGGTTAAACATCTTTATCGACGTCTTCGACTCCATGCATACAACAGGGCGTCGGTAACGTCGATAACTATGTTTAACCGGAGAGTAGTGTTAACCAGACATTGGATACCCGGCCCTTAAAAGTGTTTTCCGTTAGCGGTATTTTTGTCTAGGAACGAACTTCTGTAAGTTGAGATCGTATAAACCGTTCTCGATTGGAACAGACCAATTATTTCACCTAATTGCTGCACCATGCCGCCGATGTGGTTTTCCGCGTTCATAGTTTCAAGAGCCAAAATATCTTGCTTTAATTCAACTTTGCTTTATTACTACTAACGAAAACTTTTTTATATTGCATAAAAACCTCTTGATTCATTGTAAATACGTTTTTTTCAACCAAATTGCGAAAAGACTGCAATGATTGCGCTTCTCTCTCCAATTTTTCCCGTTCGTTGAGGACAAATCTCCTCAAGTAACCTTGATTCATGCTCTCTTCGTTTGGATTAGCATCGTTATAATCAATAAAAGCTGCTGTATCACAATGAATAGCTTGTTCTAGTTGACTACGAAGCCTTCCGTATTCAAGATCTAAAAGCTTTTTCAAACCTGCTGAGAAAATACGTGTATGGCTTGGTTTTGTAACTGCCAGATCCGGAGATTTACCGTTTTGGGCACGGTGGACAGTACTTTCGCGAATACAGTCAACTGGGGCATTTTCATTCCCATTATCTTCATCCAATCCTAGAAGTGATTGTAGAGATTCAGCATTGAGGTCGGTAGATTGAAATTGCTGTCCCATACTAATTTGCTGAAAACTTGTAGGACCGAGATTTCCATCAATGTCATAAAATTTATAACCTAGCATTTCTAGAGCTATTTCAGTCAATAAATATGACATTTTTGCAATTTTTTAATGTAAACATAAGTTGTGTTATGTTAAATATTAGAGGTGTCAAACTATAGATGGAACTATCGATAGTATCGATAGGTTAAACTATCGATAGTCTAGTTGACTATAGATAGTTTAAAACATCGTACAGTTTCAAAAGTAAAAACACTATCAGCTGATTGCCAAAAATTCCTAGAGCTGAGATCACCTGCTTTTTGGCATGTGCTCTTATCTTTTACAATTTCTCTCATTTCTTTTACAATTTGTTTTATTTCTATTACAATTCATTCAAAATATAAAAACACACCTACAGCCTGCCAGAAAAAAACGGTAAGAAGAAGAGGTACTTTACTTATGGAACTGTACGATGGTTTAAAACCTCTAGCACAGCCGATTTTATTTATAATGTCTCCATGTAGCTGCGCGTCAGTTTTTTAAGTTTGTCAATTTTTTATTATAAGTGATACTTTCACTGTGATTCCTCCTTGAATGGCCATTTTCTCAAGCAACCTTTTATTGAAAAGCTCCCTTTATATTTAAACGTTGCTTGAAACCATAAGGCTATGTCTGAAATAAAGCATTTCTATTATCGGTGTTTGACGTTTGTATGTTTCTTAGCTGTAAACAAATCAAAAAATTATATTACGAAATTTAAACAATATATATCATATTTGAAAATTTATAATAAGCAACAATTAAACAAGGCAACAGTGATTTTGTTGCGGCAAATGATAAAGCTGTTTTTGATAGACGTTTTTATGCTGATTACGAGTGCGTAAGCATAAAGATTCCATCAGCTCCAGATTTTGAGAAAAACGAGATCAAAATGTCAAAAAATCGCGTTTTTGCACTATTTTAGAAGGTCTAGCACAAAAAACAAAAGGTGATAGAACTTTTAACTGGGGCTTAAATTAAAGCTATAACTCTCGGCTACTATCCCTGCACCTTGACCTGATGGTCACTAAAAGTCATTTATTGAACAGTATAAAAATACTGGAATAAATACTGTGCTATTAATAATAATATCCCAACGGTTTTTACCCTCCATTCCCGCCAATCCGCACGAGGGGCGCAGTCCGCATGACGTACGGAACCAATATTTTAAATTTTTGTGCCGAGTCACGATAGGCAGGAGTTTGTTAAGTGTCGAGATCTAAAACTGTTCAGCTACAGAACTAAATTCATCAGCTGATTCTATGTATTTATGTCAATAATTCACTTATTGAGAGAGGAGAGTATCGCTTTCTTAATGCTGAAAAGCGGATCTGATATATCAAACGTGCTGGAATGAGAGTTAAAATCCTGGCATAAGCAACGGAGTGGGTCGTGCAATTCAAAATTGGTTTTACAAGCTTTCAGAAATATGGGACAAAAGTGTCTTGATACTGATATTGTACCTCTCTCGTCTAGCGCGTGCAACAACGTATTTT